TTCATGATAAAGGAGGTTAAACTGTAGCAAGCCATTAAGGACAAAAGAGACAGCGATAAAGGCTACCCTATTTCGGTGTGACTAGCTTTTGAGATTATCAGAAACTCTTGAATAAAAATTAACAGTTGAATTTTCTCATAGTCAGATGACTAGGTCTCACGATGCCATTATATTTCCCTTAGCGTTGTATCCTATAAGACTATCTCCTCCAGGATGGACTGCAGTTTGATCCCGTGTATGTGGTATCAGCCGCTCAAGCAGGATTTGATCTCGTCCGTGACTATCGTGTCGATGTCACCACTGAAATCCACTACATTAGATTCCACCGCACAGCCACCTTATTTATTTTCTGTATGAGTGGCTTTCAAGACTAACCGGGCTGCTTGAATGAGAGCTCAGTCGAAAACTACTTATATCGAAATAAGTAACTCCATCGAGTGCAATTGCAGACACAAGTTGTTGGCGGGTTTTGAATTTCGTATCTGCAATGTGAACCAACGGCGCTCATAGCTGTCTAGAAGAGTGGTGACGTCGCCACGATACTCACAACTGTGGCTCCAATTCACCCAGCCACCCACGCTGGGATGAGAAAACCGTTTAGCAAAGCAAGGATATGTGAAATTCAATGTAGACGTAAGGCCTATGCATGTCGTTGTGGGAAACTTCAACTACCAGTCCCCATGCCGCCCTAAATAAAATGGGGTAAACACACCTGATATAAATGCCCGTGACATCCTGAGACCTTGTTTTTCGAATTAAGTATTGTTTTCGTGACTACCAGTAAATCAGTAATATAATATATATTCAACAATTTCGCTTAAGGTGATGAAGGACTGGTAGAAGAATAACAACTGTTGGGAAAGCAAGGCTATGTGAAATTGAATGAAAACGTCAGCTCAACTCATATCATTGTGGGAAAATTCTTCTTCCACCAGTCCTTCATCACCTTAAACGAAATTGGGTGACTACATCTCATATCCTGAAACCTGTCATATATGATATTAAGAAAAGTCACCTTTCAGTCCTTACCACACCTCAAACAACCGAGGCTGAATATGCTCTTAATTCGTGATTGTTTTGCTTAATCTGTATGCATTGGTAAAGCTAAAATCGTATGTCCATAAATAATTGAATTAAATAACTTGACTAAATCACTCACTCATATCGTTCTTGCCAGTTGAGTCCATTTCCGTAATGCCTTCGATTGCAGTACTTGCAGGCGAACAAGACGCACACGGCCAGCAACAGGCCGCCCACAGTTCCAGCCATCAAAGTGAGCAAAATGACGAAAATCGGCTGACTCGTCTCATGGGCATATTCCACATGCGGTCCAACGACGCCTCTTCCCCCCGTCGGCCCGCCTCCTTGCAAGCCCGTGGCTGCCACCCCGGGGGTACCGGTGTCACTTTGTGGTGCATTGGTCGAACCGTTTTTGCCTCCAACCCCGGACGCCATGACAGCAGCCGGGCCGGCTGTCTTGGCTGTGCTGGTCAGTCGTCCGTCCGCAGAGGTTTCGGGGTCGCCGGTGGCGCCCTGTTTTCTCTCGCCATCTCCACCCGCTCCGCCCACCTCGAGCACTCCTCCGGCCACGTTTGGGCTCATCTTCAACTCTTGATCGGCGCCGTACTGGCTGGCGAAGGAGAGACTGCCTCGCCAGTTGCCTACCAGCCCCATGGACACGGGAAATCCCGACGCCGGCAGACGAGCTGAACGAGCCGTCCGCTGCCGCCGGTCGCTTTTGTCGGCACCGACGGTCTTGCGTCGGCCGAGCTCGTTTCTGGTTGGGTTGGAAGGGATGGCGTGTGGCACATCGACTGGGCGGCTTCGCAACAGCCAGGCCAACCTGGTTGCCGTCGGTGCCATTGATGATCTGAATTCTGGTACCGGATCAACGCGCACTTCTGACCCTTCAACCATGTCTCCGACGCCTTTATTCACAGCCGCTTTCTCTTGCTGCTCTGCGATTGGCATTCCGGCCTGTTCTCCCTCGGCAGGGCTCAGCTGAATTGATGAACCTCTCCTCTCATCTTCGCCCAACCCTATCCTGTTTCCGTCTTCCACACCGACTTGCCTCCTCCTCAACCAGTCATCTTCCTCTTCATTATGCCTTAGATCATTCTCCATTTCCACACTCGTCGTCAGCTCCTGGTAGCCATTCGATTTGCCCTTAGTGCCTCGCCTTTGTTTCGTTGAATATCTCATCTTTTTTTCGTTTGCCTCAATCTATATCTTTCCAAGACATTATGCGCATCCGGTTTATATTCAAAGTTGGTCTACCTTAGGCGGGTAGTTGGGGAGCTGGCCATTCTACATAAGCTGCTTGATCTGCATGATGCATCTGGCGGTGGAATAATGTTTAAAATAAGTCTTATTTCAATCTATTTGTACAGCTTTGCCTTGATTCAGCAAAGATATTTCAACGGACTCGTGTAAGAAGGACTCAAATAAGTGTGCGTTGTGCTTCATTGACAAAAGGAATGTTAACTCTTAAAATAGCCGGTCTTCGTTTACATCGTTGACAAAGTCCTGTAATATAATTTCGAGAAAAAGCTAATTTTAAAATAGCAAATAAATGGGCAAATAAGACACTTATATCAAGTGGGAAAAGAGGTGTCGGGCATAATTACAAGGCTTGCAAGTAACTTTGTCCCTACTATTGTGATTGCACAAATACTATTAACCATACAAGTAATGCCATCCCAAGTATGATAAATGTTTGTTTTGCGGAATATAAAATAAATGAAAAGGCACGTTTTTCAGATGCTAGCAACACGACTCCATTAAATAAATACTATCCGCCGTAAAAGCTTACTTTAACACTGAAAATGGTCTGCATGAAGGGCAACATATTGCTCCACTGTCACACTTTTCGCCCTCTCTGCAATGAACTCGTAGACTACCTAATGGCCATTCCGCTCATAAAATTCACTCTTTTTCATAACATTCTCAGCAGGAGAAATGCTTCCCAACAACCTGAGAGAGCATTGTTTTCTCGCCTTTGGCTCTAGACACTAAAAGCCACAAATTATAATGCACATCAGAATACCGACCTATTAGCACGTATGACTATTATTTAGCTCTTAACTCATTTGGTCTATTATGCTTATTTAAGAGGGGTGATGGAAAATACACACATTTTTATATTATTTATCTTCTTGATCTTACTCTCCTAGCGCTTCATCCATTAAGCCAGCGGACCCTGTTCTGTAATGCTCTTGTACATGCTTAGCTTTCATTGACCTTTCCACCAGTGAAGGTCCTCAGAAAAATTTATTTCTGTGTTTTTACCAATGTGTAATTTAATTGGCTCGCAATTTCCTATGTAGTTAAGAAATATAGATTGCCGAATGGCAGTCTGATGACAGCTATTAAAGCAGGCTTTATAGAAATATACAGGCTGAATCTGTAAGCTGAAAGTAATGCTCGATTAAGAACTGGTGCTCAGTCCAACCAGAATTATTGGATACTTCTTCTCTTTATTCCTGCCTGATTCACATATACATAGTCGGATTTCCAGAGCGTATACAAAATAAAATAAACAATAAAGCTCCATTTATAGAAGTGGGTTGACCTCGTTGTCGCAACTTGGTCTTGTTTTCAGGGAGACTATGTAGAACTCACCTAGTCCGAAGTCGTCTGCCATATTAGTTGTCAGGATTCCCAGCATAAGACAGTGGACTTTGTACATTCTCAAACGTTTCGCCGGAATCGTAGTCGGCATCATCAGTGAGTTTTGCCATTCGCCGCCCCAAGGTACGAACTCGTCTATGACACAAGTGAAGTCAATCCCTTGACAAACGTTCTGTCAAAAACGGTTACACCATCACTCCTCTTTCTGTAATGGCCTATCTATCTACTCTTTACTCTCTTATCTACTCTTTACCCTTTTATCCAACTCGCACGCTATCACAACTTCTCATTTGTTTACATTCCACTCGCCAAAATATGTGCCCTTTTGTGGCAAATCTAGTGTGGCCTAATAACACTTGCTATCTACCCTGACCCCATCTCTTTGATCGGCTGATCCGACTCGGGCCTCCAACCCGGATATCCTCAGTGTCTCGTAGATCCGTTCCTAAATTTTCTGGATGACCGATTTCACTCAGTTCCAGTCCAAGTGTGTATTTTACTCAAGTCGCTATTTCTCAAGACCCTGAAAGCACGTAAACTGCCGCCTCCCTGAGTAGAGCGCCTAAGCTCTGATTGCCATGCTTGCCGATATCAGGCATTCCCTTCATGGGTCGTCTCCTTGATTAAACCCATGTTATTGGAGCGAATTGTGGACACCTATCTCAGATGGATTTTTAGTACATTTTGACCATACCACCGAATTTCTGTGACGGTTTGTTTATCAGTCTGCCCAGACTCCCTGACTGCCAGGCCCCCAAATTTGTACTGATTTATTCGAAACGGACATCACCAAACGTTTGGGAATGTACCAAGTCCACTGTCTGATGCTGGGAATCATGAAAACCACTATGGCAGACGACTTCTGACTAGGTGCGTTATGCTAAGTCACCTTGACAACAAGACCAAGTTGCGACAACGAGGTCAACCACCTTTTATAAATCGAAAGGAGACTTCGACCATACCAGAGGCCACAACAACTTGGTCTTCATATCTTATCTTAACTTTCTTCATCATGAGGCCAGATGATAAAATAGTTAGCGGTAAATCTTACCAAAGATTTTGGTGTTAGTATTGCCTCTTCTAGGAATTGTTTAGAAAGTCTTATCACATAATTGTTCGCTAAGCTAGGAGCTAGTCAAAGTCCCATCGCAAGTCCTTGTGTTTGTTCATATAACTTACTAATGAAGGGGATCTCTCTATTTGACCATATGATCCCGCCAAAGAAAGCTTGTGCTCTTAGCAAGGTCTATAGTAATTTATGTGGGAATAATATAATCTGAATGAATGCTGACAAGGACGGAGCCATGATAGTCATGGATATGTTAAAGAATATTTAAAAAATGCTAGTTCATTAGAAGTAACACTTACATATATATTTCTGTAATGAGAGATTCGATGGAAATACTTAAGACTATGCTAAAGGATGATCTTAAGGTATGCCTAAGCAATAGTGAAATAGAGAATGAAAAATGAAT